GTGGGAGCGGGGTAGCATAGACGCTGTTATTGTTGTTGTTGTTGTTTATTGCGTAGGGTGGGTTGGCTTGTAGAATTTCTGGACAATATTGTTGTTGCCTCTACTGTTGGTGCTGTCGCTGCCTCTATGACGACAGCGCAGTCGCGCAGAAGCAGGTCAGTTTGTGTGGCGTCCGCTGCGCAACTTGATTTTTGTTGTATTTTTATGCGCGGCCGTCGGCGTCGGCGGGTTGACTGTTGGTAATGATCTTCGTGCATGTGGGTTGCTGCTTGTGGCTGTTTTCGTAGCCGCCGCTGTCGCTGTTGCTGTTACTGTTGGCGGCGTCGGCTACGGGGGACGATTGACTGTTGCGTTCATTAGCGTGGCCGCGGCTTTTTGGGCTCGTTTCCGAGGAGGTGCTGATACATACATATATACATAGTCCAGGTAGACACTATACACAATACAAATGTATATATGCCTGTCTGCGTATGCCTATGTATGTACATAAGGTTGGGCAGGTAGTTGGCAGCTGGGTGGCGCTGGCTGCAGCGTGGGCAGCATAGCGCATATTGAGGTTAGGTTGAAGTCAAAGCCAAAAGAAAAACTTAGCTCGAACAATCTGTCACTGCTATGCAAATGTGCATGACTCACAGGGAAATACCTCAATAGTGCACAACTTGCACTCGACTCGACGCGCAACTACAACTACAACCAAATCACGAGCAACGCGACGTAGTCAATGAAATTGAAAGTTAAACGCAATCAATGGCTGAAAGAAGAAGCACTGCATCAAGCGGCGCTGCAGCTGCGCTAGTCCGCAGCGCAGATAACGTTTTGTTGTTGCTGTTCTTTTTATTGTAGCGAAAATTTACGGTTCTTATGATTGTTGTTTTAATCAGTGAGTAGCGAAGCGGGTGAATCAATTAGAGAAGAGACCATGGGCTAAAATGCATATGGATGAGTGTGCATAAGAAACTAACGGTTAACTGAGCTTGAAGATGCGCTACATAGAGAAAATGAAACTTGTAAAATTAAATATATCTATTAAGGAAAATAAGAAAAATTAAATAAATAATTGTAGAAAAATTACGGGAATAGGAACGTGGAAAATAGTATATATCGTTTATATTAAATACATATATATTTGAAATATAATATAATAAATATATGTATATTTGAAATATATTATATAAAATATATATTTAAAATTTTTTAAATAATTAGTATCTTATTTTTTAATACAAGAATATATATTTTTTAATATTTATATTTCTATTTTATGACTTATTTTTTTATTATTTTTATTATATTATTTATTGACTATATTTATAAATTTAAAATGTGTTTTGTTTTATAGAACTCTTTATAATCAGAATGTTCAAAGCTAAAATGTTCCTTTTTGATTCATTTAGAGCTACAAAACAGTTTGTTCAATGGGAATCACTCCTTCAATTACCTTTCCAATCAATTCAATTTATTGAAGCCTCTCATTTCTAAATATATATTCTTACCGTTATTTACGCTCATATAAACTCCCTTTTTTACAAGCCCAGCCTCAAGCAAACAAATTCAGAAATGCCTTCAGTGCAGCGCAATGCGTCAGATTACGGATCCAGAGACAAAACAGGTTAGTCAGTGAAATGGAGCACCCTACTTTTAAACTTCATTGCCACTCAAGTGGCGATGGCGGATGACGAGACCGTTGCAAAGGAGCAGCCAGCGAACCGGTTTGCAGCAGCCCTAGCGAGACCCGAGCATGTGGCCCACTGGCCAAGGAAAGCAGCGCCGCACAGCCAACGCAGTCGATCGAAATCGAACTCAGGCGACGCCAAGTGATGCTCAGCGAGCGATATCACAGCTGTTGCACTTGTCGGGTGTACCACCGCCGTTAACCTCTGGCCATCCTTGGTCGTACGAACTTGTGTGATATAACGAAAGCTGCGTAATGAGCAAAGCCAATTACAAAACGCCGGAGCAACACATGGCTTCGACCTCAGTGGAAACCTGTTGCCGCTGGGCGAAGCCCTTCCTCAGTCGCTGGGAGAAAGTGTCGCTGGGTAGGGCTTCATCTATAAGGCGCCAGCAAAAATCCCTGGCCATGGACGAACTGAATTCCCCTTTACCGATCGTCACGATTTGCTTGCACTTTGTCACGTCTCATTTAACAACGAAAAAATATCTACATGAAAAACGAGAAAAAAGTGGAGTGTCACCGAAGAGGGGCCCAACCTGACCCTCTCGCCAAGGCAACCAACAACAGCACAGACAATGGCCATAGGGTGGGTTGCGATCGTCGCTCGCTCTCTCGTTCGCTCGGCGCTCTCATATATTCAATATGGCGTAGCCTAGCGTGGGACGGACATGGGTTGGAGTGGGGGGTAGGGGCAGTGCCAGTGGCGAGGGTACGGTAACGCATGCGCAATTCGCCGACTACAAAAACTTGAAAACGTGGGCGTGGGTGGGCCGAACATCTATTCAGCTCTGTCTGTCTGTCTAGCTGTGTGCGTGTATGTGTTTGTATCTGTGTGTGTGTGGGTGTGTGTGTGCTTGTTGGATACAGTTCCCGGCATTTGGCTTTGCGGTTGAGCTCTACTCGCTTGTGAGTCACGGGCTTCTGGGCTCTGGGTGAGTTCGTGGGCAACTCTGGTGGCAGGTCAAAACTGGAATTTGATCAACAGGAAATGGTCAGCAGTTTAGATGCCCCCAACCGAACCACTCGAAATGAAGTAATTTGTGTGTAAGTTTCTACACATTTCTAGAAAAAACACGGCGTTCACAATGAGATTGTTGCAACTGTGTGATATTTGCTTAGATTGACACGGATCATTAGGCTATATTATATGGTCATTGTAAAGTCTGTATTCGAGTTATTCCGAAGGTCGGTCTTAGGAAGAAACGAAAGAAGGAAGGACGTATAAAAGGAAGTATGCACGAAAGAAAGGAAAGCTTTAATAGATCAATTATCAGCTCATATAGTTCTTATATAGGTCATGTTAATAAGAATTTCTTTATATTTCACAAGCATAAGGCAGTTTATCATAGATAGACGCGCTTCCCTGTTTATACTTTAAGAGCTGAAGCATATTTTAAGACAAGAACTAATTCTAAGCTTCAGATTAGGCTTTAACTCATGCCATATGATAAAAATATATATTTTATAAGAAAATATTATAAGACTTCGAGCTAAGGGCCTAGATGTCTGCCTTTGTAGGACTTCCTCAACGCAAACCGTTTAAGCATTAGACAATTGAGCTGGCTTTACATATTTATTTAATATATATGTATATATATATAATATATATATTTTTCAAAAGATTATGTGATATATAAATATATCTTATACATTATATATCAACCACGAGACGTCTGTCAAATTGTAATTGAATTTGATGTATTCGTTAGGAACTACCACCAACAACTTTTGGATCCATTTAATAATTAAATATACAGACATGCTTTTTACCATGCCACAAACATTGAATAATACATATACAAACATATATATACATACATACATATATGTGTATAAAAAGTCCTTTATAATTTGAATGCGCACACATACATTCGCATATGCATAATCCCATGCAGGAAAATAGGAATGCATAAAGCTTTGCATTTTATATAAGGTATAAATCATGTACATGGATGTAATATACTAATAAAATCCTCGGCTCAAACTAACGGCATTCGTAACCCCCTCTGCAGGACGTTTATTTGCATTGCCTAGCAACAACATGAAAAATAAAAGCCAGAAAGAAATTTAGTTGCACAAAATACATGGGCATAAATAACAAAATACAAATTATATAATGAAATCACACACACACATACATACACACGTGTGTGTGCGTGTGGGTGTGCATATGCCGCATATGTTGCATAAAAAGCCAAAGCACAAAAACCATATGCAATCAACGCCCAACTGCACCCACCAAAATCAAATAGTGCGTGAGCGAGACAAAGAGAGACTGAGCTAGAGCAAAAGAGACAGAGCAATGCAATTGCATTTTGCGAACGCAGCTGGACAGAAGAGAAGAGGAAGCACGCATACAAACTACATATTTGACACTATGCTCGCATAGAGAGAGAGAGAGAGAGAGAACGAGAACTCACGCTCTCGTCCGCTATTGCTCTCTCTGTCCCTCTCTAGTCTCTCTCTTTGCTCACTCTCTCTTGAGTTGGATTTGAAAAGTGCAACAATAATTCCTTTGCAGTTTTTTGATGCGATTGAGCAATGGCTGGGGTGTTGGGCGGTGGGCGGTGGGTGGTGGTTAGCAGGGGGAGGTGGGAGTGGGTGAACCAAAAATTGTTATAGACACAAAATTTATGATATGCGCCGCCTGGTGGTAGGAAAAACAACCACCCAACCCAGTGCGAAAAGTCGCTCGCTTGTAGTTTTCAAAATGCCAAAGCAGCCAAAGCTTCAATATCTATGTGTGTGTGTGTGCGTGTTTTGTGTGTGGGTGTGAGTGTGTGCATTGTTTTGGGGGTTGGTATTTTTGCTGCATAGAGCGCCTGCTCGAATACCAATACCAATGACAAAAAAGCATGGCAAATGTTTTCATGTGGAGCAAGCCAGTATTGATGATGGAAAAATAGAAGTTGGCGCTGTTTTAGTTGTGTGGGGGTTGTTTGGAGCCCGACAATAGTTGCCGTTGCTGTTGCCGTTGCCGTTGCCGTTGCTGTTGCTCTTCGTGCTGACGGTGGGGTGATTCTCTGGAAAAAGTGCATACCGAAAAGTATATACGCACACAGACACAGACGGGCAAAACGCTCACTCACACTCGCACTAACACAAACGCAGTGCGGAAAAATCAATAAATCATTTGTTGGAAAATTTTTTAATTGCCCTCTAGTATGGATTTATAGTGAATCCAATTAAATGCCCTTTGGCAGCCGTCTGCCAAATACATATGCTTCAGGTCCTTGGCATATGCAGCTCGGGTGCAACGGCATCTCCACGCATAACATAACATAATTTGAAAAACTATTGCATACTTTGATGCGCTGCAACTTACCAACATGTTCGCAGAGATTTTCGCGGCCAGCCAAGAAGTATGCAACAGAAATTCGCGTCAACAAGCGCTAGCAGCGCAACACACAGGCAACACTTTTGAAATCCTTTTCGCCGTCTTCTTCTGTTTCTTTCTTTCCCTTGTTTTTTCTCACTTTTTAGTTGTTCTTTGAGCTGGTTACGCACTGCACTTTCAGCATTTCACGCTTTTGGACGTTCGGCGACACAATGGGCTTTTACAACTAACCTCATCAACACTCACACACTGAATGAATATTTGTAACTGAATGAATGGGAGTGGAAGCTACACATAGCCAAGCTCCTAGAATGCAAAGCGGCGACTGGCGAACTTGTGTCGACTTGTGGTGTGCCAGCCCTGGCGTCGGTGCCGACGTTGGAGGCGGCGCAACCGCCTCTTTTACGCACACAGTCGACAATATTTAACCGTTATTATTTGCTTTGTAATCGTTTGTCTGTGTTTTGTTATTGCGGCTGCAGCGTTTTTGCTGTTGTTGCCGCGCCGATTGCCAGTCGCGCAATAATTGCGCTCCGAGTTGTGCAATCGCACAAAAAGCTTCCTGTTTATGGCGCGCCTTGTTGTTGTTGCCAGCACAAAAAAGCGCGCGCATTCCAGAACTCTCCCACACGCACAACATGCGAGCGCTTTTGTTCTATCTCCTTCTTTCTCTCTCTCTCTCTCGCTTTCTCTCGGTGTCTCTCTCTCGTTCACTCGCTCTCTTTCGTTGTCATTTGATGCGTTTGGCTCTCTGACATGCTCATACCATGGCAGCCATGTTTATTTACAAAAAGTTTACCGTTATTTGTGCGGTACTTTAGCTGAGGTATTTGGGACTTAATCAACGTTTTATTTCTTGTATAGAGTTATTGCGCTTTAGAATTTAGAAATTGGTAGCATTCAAGGCTTAATTGAAATATATTATAAAAATGAATACCTCACATAATTAAATTATTCTCATATCATATAACATATAAAGTATAATAGTGTAATATTATAGAAATTGAAAATGTTATAAATTTATGTTTATTTGTTGTTTTTGTGTTTACATTATTTTTTATAATTAAGAACTTACAATTCATTTAACTTCTTTTTGTTTGTGGCTTAAGCATTTGTAGCACAATTTAAACTATTGCGCTCTTGCAGAGCAGAGTCTGGCAGCACTGTGAAGTTTTTGTTTAGTGCTGCCAGAGTGACGGTTAAAATTAACTCTGGTTTGCTGGTGTTAGCATGCTGCCTGCTATGACACTCAATGTGCTGTGTTGCCGTTAAAAATTTGAAAGTATTTCAGAAACTGATTTTTTCAAAAAGCCAATATAAAGAATAAGTTTTATATGTGTGATGATAACAATGTTGAAATATATATCGGTATATATCTAGCTGATTATATATAAATTAAAATAAAGCTAAAGGAATTTCATTTATACCAAAACTCTTACTCTGGTGCCGCAGTTAATAGAGCTTATTGGCTTAGAAACTTTAACTTAAGTGCGCATGGGACATGCCTTAGCTTTGAAGTTAGAATCACAAACTTTAAGCTGAAAGCAGCGAATTTTGAAAGGTTTTAAGAAGTGCCTAAACTTCTCTTGCCTTATGCTTAAGCTAGAGTATCTACACAGCAAGCACGCCCTACTAAGGCCACTTTTCTTGTTTTCTTTCTTATTTTGGGCTATATAAAGTTTTAATCAAATTGCATATGTGACCATAAATGCCCATACCTATTCGCTATATGGAGGCAGCCGTGGCAAGGCAACTTCAGCCACCCTAAACCACCCAAAGGCACCCCAGGCCAATCCAGCCAGTGGCGCCCCGCTGCTAACCTAATTTCCCAGGCTATGCGGAGCGTTTGCTCTACTCTTGCTCTTTTCCACTTTATTTTCGGAGTATTTTTGTGCAACGTCAACTGTCTCGAAAAGTTTTTAATCATCGTCAACAGGCGGCAAATTTTTTCAATTTTTTTTTCTGTTTTTTTTTTGTGGTACTTAAGATTTTCCACATATACATTGCGAGGCGTTTGGATTAATTTTCTCGTTGCTGTTGTAGTTGTGTTGTTGGCCCCGATATTCGTTTCACAAGCTTTGCTGCTTGCAACATTGTCTTTTGCATATATTTTCCCTTTTTTGCTGTTTTTGTTTTTGCTCTGGCAGCAAAATTCAATGCAATTAAAAACAATTCATAATACGCTCTGGCCGCCTTTTCCATATGCCGCTTCATAGCCCGGCTCTGTGTGTAATTTGTCTCTCATTTTGCTAGATTACAGCAGACACCCACTCGCCGCCCCCTCATCACTCTTGCCTCGTTTGTTTTACAAAAATGATTTTTAATATAACAATTTTGATGGCTTTTTGGGTTTTGTGCATTTAATTAAAGCAGTCGCCACAGCCCAGTAAAAGCCAAATGAAAATGCAATGCAATAAAATCTAAATAAACAAAACCTACGTTCTGAGACAGAGACAGCAAGAGAGAGTGAGAGGGAGAGGGCGGGAGGGAGAGGCAGGAAGTGGGAGAGTGCACAAACGGATTGGTTAAAATATGCAAACAAGAAACGGAAAAACTTATTTAGACGCCGCTGCGATACAACACAGAAAAAAGAGCAACATACAACAACAACAACAACAACTGTGGGGCATATACAATGGGGCCAGAGACAAAATGTTGCTGCGGCTGCTTATGAAAATGGCGTCACGAACGGAAAAACTGAAGCAAACACACACACACACAAATGGACACACACACGCACACACTCACACACATTGGCATAAAATACGCAGCAAGTGCAACGTGGCTCCCACGCGTGCTTTTAACTCTTGCCCCAAAGTGTGGCACAATGGGCAAAGCGCCGCGAAAAGACAAGCTGCAAAAAAAATAAAAGAGAACAAAATAAAAAGTAAAAAATATATATTATGTTAATGCCACAAAGGTAAACACACAGATTAAATTATTAAATTTGTTTTTGTTTTGTTTTTACCTTTTTTATAACTAAGAAATTACAAGAAAAACAATTTCAAGTAATTATTATATTATATTAATATATATTTTAGTACTAAAAAAACAGTAAAAATATATTAAAAATTTAAATAATGTCACAAAAAAGAAAATTTACTGAGCTTTAAGTTTTCGTTGAAGCTTTAATGAGTTATAGCTAGCTATGTATGAGTAGGAGGCTGAAAAGGTAAAGAAAGCTTTAAGCTTTCAAGCAACAATTTAATGAGCTTTAAAAGCTGCTTATTTGAATATATATATATATTTATTCACTTAAAATAACAAAATTTTGAAAGAAAACCCGTAAATAAATCATTTTTTAACCATCAAAAGTCAACTGAATGTGCTTTAAAAGCTTTTTATATATATAACATTTATATCTTGTACAAATAGTAATAAAAAAAAAATCTAGAAGCACAGCACAAGAACAATATTGTCGAAGCATAGAGAATCTATCAAGCAAAAGCAAAATGTTTTTCAGCTTTCAAAGCTTTTATAGCTGGCAAATTATACAAAGCAAAATATGTGCAAAAATATAACTTTTAATAAAGACTTAAAGCTTTAAAAATGTCTCAATATTTTGCTCAAAGTTTAGTTAAGAGCTTAGCTAAAATTTAGTGAGGCTGCTACTATAAAAGCTTTAAGTCTCTGATCAGCTCAGCTTTTAGTATTAAAAATAAATCAATTCTAAATATATTTTATAAAGCTTTTGCTTGTTTAATATTAAAACTTAATTCTTAGAGATTTTAAAAACTGAATAAAGTCTTCATGACAATTAAAAAAGAACTTGAAAGTTTCCTAAAAATAAAAGAGTGTATATAAAGCTAAAATTAATGAACTTTGAGCTTTTACAATACCTTAAAATAAAGCTCAGATGCATGTTGAAAGCTTTTCAATTTAAGCTTCGCAATTCTCTTGAGCTTCGCCTGTTAATAAATCTGCCCATTGTACGTGGCGTTGGCGACCTGCCGTTGCATGTGGCAAAAGACTTTGCCCCAGCGCCTAGCACGCTGCTCCCTACACCCGATTCTCTCTCTCGACACGCCCCCAACCCCTGCTCCCGCCCGCCGATTTGATTGTTGTGTTGCCAATGGAAAAGCATTCAAAAATTCTCCCACTATTGTTGAGCGCGTGGGAAGCGTTTCAATGTTTTGTTTGTTGTTTGAAAACGTTGCCGCTGCTGCTGCTGCTTCTTCTTCTTCCTAGTAGTTGTTGCATAAATTGTTTTTTTTTTTCGCCCGAAGAGACAACGCCACAGAAACAGATCTCAGCCAGCCTGCTGAATCACAGTTTAGTCTAAGTTTTTTTTAGTTCTTCTTGGCATTGTTTTTTTGTTGGTCAAAGAAATTATTAATACATAATTCATGTTTAATTGTCTGTTGGCTTTTAATTATTTGCCTCACAGCTGTAGGAGTGTGGGGAGGGGGATGGCGTGTGGCAGGGTCACTGTGTGCTATAGCCAAAGTTGGAAAAACTTTCGCTGATTGAGTTGCGTTTAGTTTTTGCGATCAATTCGCGTTGACAGACATTTCAATTAGCTCGTGTGGTTCGATGAGTCGCTGTGCCTCAACTTTGGCAGAAGGAGCGACGTGGGCATGGGCGTGGGCGTGGCTGTTGTCTACACTCCAAACTTGTCAGTTGCAAACATTTTGGTGGGCCCTGCGGGCTGAATGAAAATTAGATGAGCAGTTGACGAGTTGAATGCGACGCGTCTTAATGCGGACACACACGCAGAGAGAGAGAGAGAGAGAGAGAGAGAGAGAGAGAAGGGAGAAGAGAAAGAGGGAGAGCATGCGATGCTAGGGTTAAAGTTGAGTTGCCAGGATTTATCTGCCCCAGGGCACATGGCACAACGAGGGCGGTTCTAGCAAACTGTGTCCCGCAGCTGGCTAATTCTCTAAATAAGCCAAAGTCGTGTCAATCAGCTTAGCTGCATTCGAGAGAGGCTTTGGCTAAAATACCTTAAGCACATAACAATTTCGAGACATGTTTATAAAGGCTTCTTTTCTTAAAATAAACCAAGCAACATTTATCTAAGGCAATCGAAACACATCACATCAAAAACATAAATTGCTTAAATTTATTTCGAGAATTCACTTTAGAGTTTGAAAATAGTTTTCTTAACTTGAAAGTTGTGTGTTTTTTATCAAAAAGCAAGCAAAGTCCCCTTTGTGCGCCTTGAACTCTGAACTCTCCCAGTTCAACATCTGTTTTTGTATGCAAAACTTTTCAGGCATTTCCCAATGATATTTCCATTAGACTCTATAATATACAGTGAACTGGCACTATGATGGCTGGCTAGGTTAGTGTTACAGCTAATTTCCTTTATCTTTTTCCTTTATATATCTTTTTCCTTTTATATGCTCTCAAACTGCTCCAAGTTGAACTGGATTATTTAAAATGCTCTTGCCTGGTGCCTAAGCAAAACACTGCCAAAAATGCTTTGTTTAAAAACATTTCTTAACTTCTGTCTCTAGTTCTATAAGTGTTTTGTATGGAAATGTTTCACTTTAGTCAGTGATCGC